TAAAAGCCCTCCCTGTTGCTAGGAGCAGAGCTAAATATACCCAAGCAGCTTCAACAGCAGGAATAAAGACACAATGGTACAGACTTTAGTGTGGGCGAGGTACCTGAACAAAAACCTAGGGTCCCTAATGGAGTTGTGGCAGAAAGGTCTTCAGTGTAGGCTCCACATCTCTGCTGCTATTGTTATCCATACTATAATAATAGTACCTTGCTGTTGCAAAGTAGACTTATGCCAAGTCAGGGGAACCAGTTCCAACACAAACCTTTATGACAGACAGAATGTGAGAAGATACATGTAAATAAGTCAAGAGTCAAGCCATTTATTTGATTGTTGGGGGGCATTAATCTTAAAGACCAGCTCTGTTATACTTCTAAACAATCTTATGACCAGGGCTACTGATTCCCCGCTATAGTTGTAGTGTGACCTGGGTCTTACATAGCGACTCATAAATAAAATCAATTTGTTTTGCCCTCGTTATTTTGTTGAATACATACAATTCTGCTGGGGAATAAAACTGAACTTTACCGCCAGTTTACTGTTAAGCAGCAGCTGGAATCCTTCTCTCTTCTCTTGTTCATTCCCATCATGCAACTGGTCAGCCTGCTGCAGGAGCTGCTCAAGTTCCTCCTCCACTGTAGAATCCAGGATTAAAGTTGTTTCATCCTCATTGACTAGATCTAGGGAATCCTTCCGTGCAGTCCTCACTGTTTCACAGCTCACTTCATCTTCCCCCTCTTCGCTTTCTCTCTCCGACTCCCGATCGTAATCGGACTCTGCATTGGCTGTGCTGTACCTTTCAGAAAATACACACATTGTAATCCAACATTAAGTTACACAACATATACTCGGAACAAGATGCAGGGTGACAGTTTTACATAAAGCTTTAACAAGACAGGGATGAAGATGATCTAGTAAGTATCTTGGGTCAAACTGTTTCCAGTGGCAAGAGGTATACCTCCACAAGGTAACCTCTAGAACTGTGCAGAACACCATTTTAAATCCCTTACAGCATTTTCACTAATCATTATAACAAGTGGAAAAAGGCAGAGAGAGAAACTCAAAGGAAGCCAGCACAAAACTCAAGCAACAGGAGTTCATTTCCAGCTTCTCTTCTGCAAAAGTTCTTTTAGAGCATTTAATTTTTAAGGCCTAAAAAAGATGTCTATTGAACAGAACTGCCAAAGAAGAGCACCTAGGAAGTTACAGACTACACGGTAGACATTTTCAATAGGAAACAACAGACTCATCTGGGTGGCAGATGCAACTTGATGTTTTTGATGTAAGCCAAAGAATTTCAAACACAATAGCATTCTTGGCAAGCTCCGGTATTTTGATCAGGTGTGTGACCAGTAAATATGAAGCAGATTAGTCATGCTGACATGTGAAAATGTTTGAAAGTTAGATAATCAAAACAAATTCATGAGTACAAAAAGCCAAGTCATTATCATTGGCAACCCTGTGCAGTCAAGGGTGATTGTCCTCCATGACTGCCTTATCTGTGGGTCCAAAGGTGGCTGACAAGGCCAATCCAGGATCGACAGGTTCTAGTGCAACTCAGGCACGTGTTTCCATGCAGCATGGGTGGTTCTAGATTTTTGGATTGGTTCAAGACATGGCTGTTTCTGCTGCTTCTGTTTCTCCATCTCCTGTTGTTGTTGTTGTTGCGAGGTTTCAAAGTACTGAGATCTTCACATTTGGGATGCCCCTGGGTGATAGTCTCCCATGAGTTGATATAAATGTTGCATTTTTTCAAGTGGGCCTTGAGGACATCCTTGAAGCATTTTCTCTGTCCTCCTAAGCTTATGCCTCGACTGAGCTAGGAGAATAAAATTTGCTTCGGAGTCTGGAGTCAGATATCTGCATGACGTGGCCATCCCAGTGAAGCTGATGTTGAATGATTATTGCCTCGATGCTCATGGTGTTTGCTGAGAGGACACCAATGTTGGTGTATTCGTCTTCCCGCTAGATTTGAAGGATCTTCTGCAGGCAGCGTTGATAGTATTTCTCCAGCAACTTGAGGCGTCTCCTGTACATTGTCCACGTCTCAGCTCTATACAGTAAGGTAGGGATTACGACTGCTTGTTAAACCACGAGCTGGGTTTCAAATCCGATGTTGAGATCTTCAAACACACATTTCCTTAAACATCTGAAGGCTGCACTTACACATTTGACAGGAAGTTGGATTTCTTCATCCATGTTAGCCTTTTGTGATAGATGGTTTCTGAGGTAAAGGAAATATTCAACATTCTCCAGAAAAGGCCAAGTAGCAGATGAGCAATATAAAGATACAATATTTATATAACAATATGCAATTGTTAGCTATTAAAATGGTCAGATTATATAAAGCAAAATAAAGCTCAGACAAAATTTTTTTCCAAAGCCTGTCTTAAATTAAGCTTCTTAAATTATGTTCAAGTGTCTGAATAAGTGACCTGATTTTGGAAACTGCTAAGTACTTATCAGCACCCACCAAAACCAGGAGGATTATTTAGATACCTAAAGTAAAGGTTTAGGAGTCTAACTTTAGGTTTTAAGTTTGACCTAACTTGTCCTCTTTCAAACTCAGATGGAAGCTCTTAACTAAGGAAGGGAAATAAAGTTAGCCCTAACAATTTCAGAAAGAACCGTTTTAAATTCAGGGTTTGCTCAAACAATAAGGGAAACAATCTCCAATATCCTACCCCAATTCCTTTAAACTTTTCATTCCAGATCCTGACTGCAATTGTTGGAGTAGTGAACAGGAAGATAAGCAGTCTCTGTAAGTAGAACCCAAACAACAATAAAACTTGAAAAGCTTAATACCTGTGCAAAAGGGAAGCCACTGGGGAACTGCTGTTATGTGCTCCCTACAGTTGGGCATGTTAAATTGTCATGACATTCTGCACTAGCTGAGACGTCCAGTGTTCTCTACAGGTAGCTGTAGTGTTCCCTATGTGAAGTTATCAAACCAGTAGACAAAGCATGTGCCAAGGTCTATGTCTAAGATAGCAGTCGCAGGGAACTGGGTTAAACAAAGGTGAGAAGACTGATTCTTGGCTACCAAAGTAATAATTGTCTGAAGTCATCAGGGATTCAACTGTATTCTAAAGAGAAAGGCATTTGAAGAGAAGGGTTAGCACAGATCCCCACCCTGAGGCACCACCATGTGGTATGATCATATCAAATCTCAAACTAAAGCAGTATATTGCCACTAGGTTGATGGAAGAGAGGTGGTACAGAAATCATGCTGAAGATTCAGTAGGTAGCATTATTCCATTTAATTCCAGGTAGGTACTGTAATCCATCAACATAGTGACAGATTACTATGGTGTTCCCATATTTTGAATGAGTTGTAAAATCTAATGTCCTCACCACTTCCTATGAAACAGTCATAAGACATTTCTTAATGAGTATATGGTACTAAACTTTGATTCCTTGGTTAAACTCAATTTGAGTAGTTACATTTAACCTCCCCAAATCCCCTTTGCAGTTTCAATTTACTGTGCACCAGTGCAGAGTTTTGTGGGCTACCAAACAGCAAGTGTGCTCCTCCTAAGCAACAGTTTAACAGTACCTGAAACTATTTTTATATTTAAAGAGAAAAAGTGGTTTTCATTCTGAAGGATCTAAAAAAAAGTAATCTTGCCACAGAAAAGTAAGATCTGAAGAAGTTCACCACTTTAAAAACCCCATTTGCTCCTTCTTTTTAAAGAAAAGATGGACACCACTTAATGCAGGGCTTGTGTGCATGTTTTTCCCCCTCTGCATTCAAACTCACTTTGACATGGCTCATCTGAGATGCTGCCAGTTTAAAAAAAGAGAAGCAAGCAAAACTGAATAACTTTATAAAAGCAAACGTATTTAAAAGGATCCACAGGTTTAGATGTTATCCTGATTTTCTCAAATTTAGGAAGATGGGAAGTTCTTAAATGCCTTATTATGTCAAAGTCCTTGGCTGGCACATTTCCTGAATGGACAACAAAAAGTGCATACTATTTGGTGCTAAAAAGCACAAGAAAAAAGAAAATGGGGCAGAGGAGTCTGTTGGACCTTCACAGTGCCAGAGAAACATAAGGAAATTAACTTCTACACCACAATACTTCTTGCTGCTCACAATATGGAACAATCTGAGTCATTTGGAAATGAAATGTGAGGATGGCTTATAAAGTGTTTGGCTTATAATGAAGAGGAGAAGAAGGAGATTTATAGGATTTAATTAAAAGGCAAAAGAAAGTAGTTGTCAAAACAAAGATGCCAATTAATTTTTATCTTTTGAGGATAATTTTTTCCCTCCCAAGTGCCCCTACATATCTACGTTGCCTTTTCCAAAATAAGTTTTTCCCATACTGATTTTCTATAGGAAGAAACACATTGCCTACATTTCCAAAGGTAATGTTGTGTGATAGCACAGAATATTTTGATTTGGTTGCCAGGTGGCTGCTATACATGGCTGTTCAGGACAGTGAAATACAACTTCAGTTTCACATAACAAAACTGCTTCATATCAGGCCAGGGTCCATCCACCATCCACTAATTCACGACAGTGACTCTTAAATCTCCCTGTAATGTTTTAAATTACTGACATAGAGCTGAGCCACATTATCTAAATATATTCTGACAAACAAGAAAATTAGACAGCAGCAGTGACTCAGAACCCAGCTTCCAGATGCCTCAACCTGATTTACAGAGAGGTAGCACAGAGTAGGGATCACCAACATACAGCCCTAAGGTTCACTGAATTTGGTGGCACGTTGGTGACAGAGGCTTAGCCTGCACACATGCCAAGGCTGAGTGGCAAGGATCTCTTCCAGGTCTGGTTGGTAAGATGCTATTCCCATGCAGCATGGGGGTAGGGATAAGCATGGCCTGGAAGAGTCTCTGCTCCCACCATGGCAGGGGTGGCCACAGCTGCAGCAGAACGCTGGCCTGCCTCAAGACCTAAGCTGAGTTGTTCTGACCTGTGGCTCTGAAAAGTTGTAGACTACTAGCATCAAGAATATCCGTCATCTTATTCTTCCAACTCACTGTACCCTCTTGCACACACTTTTACCAGCCAATCCCTTACAATATTAAGCAGCAGGGCTCCTTTCCCAGAGATGTCAAAAAGCTCACAGGAAATAGGAGCTAGACAGAAGCTGAAAATTGGCTGTGCAAACATCAAGTATTGCCAATCCTGAGAATTACGTTAATCAAAATCACAAGATGATTATGTCAAATATAACAACTAATCCAGGTTTGAGCCTGGGTTCATTTTTTCTGAGACCAAGAGAGCTAGAAACTCACTAAAGCAGCAATGGAGTGCTGCCACCTAACATCCCATGCTGCTGCTGTTTTGCCTCTTGCCTCCACCCCCTGTCCGGTCTTTGGCACGGCTTTGGAACCATGGCGGTGCTCCTCCATGCTTAGAGCACTCTGATTGGCCATTTCCGTCAGCCAATCAGAGTGCAAATAAAGCATTACAGACAGACA